CACAGCACCTCATTCTCAATCCCCTAGCATCAGCCCTGAGCCCTTGGCCCTCTTTCTAGTTTTCACAGATCTATACACAGGAAGGATTCCTGGGCATCTCTCAAATCCAGTTCAGGTACAGCACTGGGGAGCGGGGGTGTGGGAGAGGGTAGGCGAATTGACACACCTCTTTGAGGAGGTGCTGGGACTTTTGTAGCTGGGGGAGCGTGGGGGGAGCATGCTGAGATGAAGTTGCCCATCCCCCTGTGCCCAGTCCGGGATCTGTGGTGGTAGAGGCCGCTCTCGCCTTTCGAGAAGGCACCACTGACGCCGACAGCGTGGAGAAGCAATTTGTTCAGCAGGCAAGTGGACACAATGACACCTTGTCCATCTCCAACATCAATGGTGAGACCCGCCAGCATCTGGGTCCCTGCTCTCCTCTTCTGGGTCTGGGAGGGGGAGGGGGGGTCCTCAGGTCTTAGGAAATCGCCTGACCTCAGTTTCTCCTTCCAGTGCAAAAGGTGTCCTTTGCTCCCTCTGCCCAGGCCGGGTCTGGGGTGCCAGGCTGGGGCATCGCCCTGCTGGTGCTGGTCTGTGTCCTGGTCGCACTGGCCATCATCTATGTCATCACCCTGGTAAGTGCCATCTCTGGCCCTGACTGCCTAGTCCTCTCGAAGGTGCCCCACGAGCCCCCTAACCTCTGGTCTCACAGGCCGTGTGCCAGTGCCGTCGCAGGAGTTATGGGGAGCTTGACATCTTTCCGGCCCGTGATGCCTACCACCCTATGAGCGAGTACCCCACCTACCACACCCATGGGCGTTACATGCCCCCCGGCAGTGCCAAAGGGAACCCCTATCAGGAGGTGAGAATGGCCCAGGAGGTGGCAGGGGGCTTGGCTGGACGGGGTTCCAAGGGCGTTCTTGAAAACGTACACAGTCTTGGGAGAGGTGGCTGGAGGTCAGCAGTACAAGGCTGGCATGGAGGGCATGGGGTCAAGGGAGTTCTGGGGTGGGGTGGGGTGGTGGTGGGGGAGAAGGCCTGGGGCAGAGATAGGCTAGAAGGGGGCCCAAAGTCTGCCGGAGGGCTCCATTCCCCGCATTCCTGCGGGCACCGCCTGGCTGAGCTGGTTGCCCAGAGGTGACTGGGTAGGGCGCTGCACCCCAGGGAGCCTTTTCTGCTCAGGTCCAAGGGACTGCGCACCTGTGTCCCCTCCCATCTTCTAAGAATGGAAGGGAGATGGAGAAAGGTGGGGTGGGGATGTCACATGTGAAGGTGTGGGTCTTGCCAAGGTCTCTGAGCGGGGCAGGCTTCCTCCTCTCCTAGCTGGGCCATTCCCCAGGCAAGCGCAAAGGCCAGTGAGCCTAGTGAGCCCGCAGCACAG